GCTGTGCTGGCTTCTTAGACTGTTCAGATCATCTTTATTCATAGTAGCCTCAAACTGAAACTGCCCAAATGTCCATCAGCAGTAGGACAGAGAAATAAATTGTCATTTTATAGCATATATATTGATATATAAATGGAATATAGACATGACAATGAATGACCACCAGTATATAACATGGGTAGATCTCACAAACGTAATACTGAGTGAAAGAAGCCAGACACAGAAGAGTCTACAGTGGGGACTGTAGTAATTCATTTATATAAAGTGAAAAACAGGCAAAACAAACATACAGTGTAAGAAAGCAGGAGGGTGGGTCCCCTGCAGAGGAAGTAACTGGGAGGGAGTGAGGGGGGCCCTGTAAAGTTCTCTTTCTTGACACTGGACCAGGTGATGTAACTATGCTCACTATGAAAATTCATTGAGCTGCAAATGTATGATCTCTTTACTTCACTGTATGTATGTTGTACTTCAGCAGAGAGTTAAAAAAAAAAGTTTACCTTGCCTGCGGGTAGGGATTTTTTAAACATAATTTTAAAATGTTTAACTATGGTAAAAAAATAACATAAAATTTACCATCTTTACCATTTTAAGTGTACAGTTCACTTCTGTTAAATATATTCATATTGTTGTGCAATTGATCTCCAGAACTTTTCATCTTACAGAACTGAACCTCTCTTCCCGTGAAACCACCGCTGCCCATTTTCTCCTCCCCCCAGTCCCTGGCAACTACCCTTCTGCTTTGTTTCTATGACCTTTACTACTCTAGGTACCTCATATAAGTAGATCAACATTATTTATCTTCTTGTGATTAACTCCTTTCACTTAGCAAAATGTCCTCAAGGTTCATCTATGTTGTAGCATGTGTCAGAATTTCTGTCTTTTTTAAGTCTGAACATATACCACACTTTGTTTATACATTCATCTGTTGATAGACATCTGGGTTACTTCCACTATTGTGTATAATATTGCAGTGGACGTGGATGTACAAATATCTCTTCCAGATTCTGCTTTCAATTATTTTGGATATATATACCTGTAAGTGGTATTGCTGGATCATATGGCAATTCTATTATTAATGTTTTGAGGTGTTGCCAAACTGTTTTCTATAGTGGCTGTACCATTTTACATTCCACTAGCAGTGTACAACGGTTCCAGTTTCTCCATATTCTTGCCATTTGTTATTTTCTGTTTTTTTTTAATAAAAGATTTTATTTATTTATTTTTAGAGAGGGGAAGGGAGAGAGAAGAGAAGGAGAGAAACACCAATGTGTGGTTGCCTCTTGTGCACCCCCTACTGGGGACCTGGCCCACAACCCAGCCATGTGCCCTGACTGGGAATTGAACTGGCAGTCTTTCGTTTGTGGAACAATGCCCAACCAACTGAGCCACACCAGTCAGGGCTAGATTTTGTTTGTTCTTTAAAGACAAGATAATTTGAACATGTTTGAAGGGCCAAGGAAAAAGAACAAGAGGATGTTTGTTGCATCAAGTTTCTAGGGTAGCTGTATTGCTCTTTTGTGGGTACAAACTCTTTCCTGTTATCCATGAGTGTTCGGTAAAATAACATGAAACTTCACAGCCTGGGTTCAGTTTTTCTGCGGGGAGTGAAGGCAAAGCCTGTTTCCACTTCTGGACTACAGGAGTAGGAGGAGCAGTGCCTCCTAAAGCCAGGGCATGACTCCATGTCAGCCTCTCCCATCTCACTGGGGCCTTGTCAGAGGGTAGGGCTAGGTCTTCTATTTTCCTACCTGGTCTTATACATCCCCATGTAGCACACACTGCAGAGAAAACAGCCTGCAAACCACAATGCCAGTGATAGGGCCTAAGGCAAACAATAGGTTTCAGGTAGAAATAGAAGGGATTTATGGGTGGAGAGATGCTGGTGAGGCTGTAGTGAAGTTCAGCTTTACTGGGATTAAAGGGGGTGCAGAGAGAGGAAGGTTAGACTTGGGTATGAGTGTAAGGCAGGGGTGTCAAACTCATTTTCACTGGGGGCCACATCAGCCTTGTGGCTGCCTTCAAAGGATCAAATGTAATTTTAGGACTGTACAAATGTAACTACTCCTTAACTAGGGGCAAGGAGCTCAGCGCTGCCACCCGGTAGAAACAAAGTGCTGGGCTGGATAAAACAAGGTAGAGGGCTGGATTTGACCCTCGGGCCTTGTGTTTGCTGCCTGTGGTATAAGGGTTTATCCTAGAATCTTAGAATTCTGTGCTCTAAGGTAAGGCTGAGAAGCTCCACAGGTATATAAGGGGCTTTCTTTGTTTCAAAGGGAGTATAAGATGCTGAGATTCTGAGATAGCTGCCATAAGAATATTTCTACTATTTATTATTTATTATTATTTTATTATTTATTTTATTGATTATGCTTTTACACTTGTTCTGATTTTCCCCCCTTTGCCTTCCCTCTACCTAGCATCACCCACTCCTCAGGCAATCCCTCCACCATTGTTCATGTCCATGGGTCATATGTATAAGTTATTTGGCTACTCCATTTCCTGTACCATACTTTATACACCCATGGCCATTCTGTGTCTACCTATTTGTACTTCTTAATTCTCTCACCTCTTCACTCCTTCCCCCACCCCCACCTCCCATCTGGCAACCATCAAAACACTCTCTGTATTCATGATTCTGTCTCTGTTCTTGTTTTCTTACTTTGTTTTTTTAGATTCAATTGTTGACAGATTTGTATCTTTTGTCATTTTATTGTTCATATTTTTGATCATCTTCTTAAATAAGTTCCTTTAACATTTCATCTAATAATGTCAGGTTTTTTTTTAAGATTTTATTTATTTTTTTTAGAGAGGGAAGGGAGGGAGAAAGAGAGAGAGAGAAACATCAATGTGCGGTTGCTGGGGGCCGTGGCCTGCAACCCAGGCATGTGCCCTGACTGGGAATCGAACCTGCGACACTTTGGTTTGCAGCCCGCGCTCAATCCACTGAGCTACTCCAGCCAGGAAGTTTTTACTTGTCTGGGAAGCACTTTATCTGCCCTTCCACTCTACATGATAGCTTTGCTGGATAGAGTAATCTAGGTTGTAGGTCCCTGCTTTTCACCACTTCGAATACTTCTTGCCAGTCCTTTCTGGCTTGCAAAGTTTCTTTTGAGAAATCAGCTGACAGTCTTATAGGAACTTCTCTGTGTTTCTCCCTGTGTGCCACTGGTGCCTTTCAAGCTGCTACCCTGGTGCTGGAGCTTACAGGGAGTGAATCTGAGTAGATGAGTCCATGTGTGGGTTAATTAAGAGGAATTTCTTGGGGCTCTAGAAGTTTCTTCCATCCATTCAATCCCCACTGGTTTTTGCAGTCAGAAGTTGTGGGGACTCATCTTCCTGGCACTGGAACCCTGGACTGGGGTAGGGGGCAGGTGTGGGCCTGGAACTCCTCACTCTTGAGATATCCCTCCCAAATTTTTATCCACCATCCATTTTTACCCTCACATGTGATTGAGGGACCAGCCTGTTCCATGTTTGCACCCCTTCTGTCAGTCTGGATGGATATGGTATCTTTAATTCCATAGTTGTTAGACTTCAATTCACTGAATTCTTGACGGTTCTGAGTGATGGTTATTCTATGTTTTAGTTGTAATTTTGATGTGGTTGTGCAAAGAGGTGAGCCATGTCTGCCTACGCCACCATCTTGACCGGAAGTTCCAAGAATATTTTCACAGCACAAGACTTATGCCAGATAGTACTCCAGTTATCTATTGCTGAGAAGCAAACCTCTCTAAAACATAGTGGCTTGAAAACAGCTGCCATGTTATCATTTCTCAGGATTTTGGGTAAGGCACAGGAGGAAAAACTTGTCTCTGTTGTAGGTTATGAGGAACAGCCCAGGTGGCTGGAACAACTCAGTTGTCTTCTCCCCTCAATGACTGGTTCTTCGACTGGGATGGGGTCTACCAGGTTCCAGTGTCTGACCTAAGTTTTTGGTGATAACTGGGTCCCTACTTTTGCTCAATGTCATCTCTGTATGTGGTCTCTCCACAGCAAGATGGAAGTGGGGGAATCAGCTCAGGATTATCAACAACTCAAAATCGAGATTGCCAAGTGCTCCTAAAAGCTCAGATCTGGAACTGGCACATTGTCACTTCTGCCATGTTCTTTTTTTTTGTTGGTTAAGTGGAGACATAGGTACAGTCCAGATCCAGGGTCAAGGATCACACAAGGTTATAAGCATGTTTTATTGGGGACCACATAAATAATAAACTCCCTGACAAAAAGGGCTCTACAGGCAGACTTGGAAGGGCTGAGAGTGATCTAATCCCTAATTTTATCCTGCCCCATCTTCAGAGATGACTGGAGGGCAAATAGTGGGGAACAAGATAACCCCAAACTTCCTCCACGGAATTAAATGTGTGTGTGGGCATCTGATCTGCTACTGGATCAGCCTGAATCAAGGGAGGCTGGCCTGTATGTGTATTCGTTAGCCTATTAAGCATTTACTGAGCAGTTTAAGCGTCAGGTTCTTAACATTCGCGTTATCTCATTATCCCTGTTTTAAAGAGAAAGCAGAGGCTAGAATGCAGCACCTAGCACCGCACCACGGCGCAGCCTCCTAGGACCTTTTCACCCGGCGGGCTCAATTTGGGGCAGAGTGGTGACGGGCGCCGGAGTCTCCGGGAGGGGAGCGCTCAACACGACCGGCTTCTCTAGCAGAGCGGCGGGCTGCCAGGCAGCCATCGGGAAGAGCGCGCTTCAGAACTGCTACCCCGTCACTGCCTTGCTAGACGAAGAGCAAACACTAGCCCGCCAGGGGGCCTCGGTACCGGGAACCCGGGGGTCACAGTGGGTGGGGAACGGGGGCGTGGGGGGGGTGGCTCTCGGAAGCCCAGACGCTGCTTTAGAGATCCGACTTCGGGACCTCGGGTGCAGAGCGCCAGCGGCCCGCCCCCGCCCTCCACGCACGCTCGCACGCTCCAGCTCCGCCTGCCGCGCAGCTCTGGCTCCGCCCCAAGGATTGACCGCCCGAGCCACCGTCTGCCCGGCCCCGCCTCGCACGGCCAGGCGAAGAGGAGCCGGCCGTGCGGTGTGTGTGTTTGTGTGCGTGGGGCTCGGACTCAGCCCCGGGAAGATGGTGGCGGCGGGGGCGGCTGCGGCGACTGAGGCGAAGCTGAGGGGGAGGACAGTAGCGACGACAGGGCCCTCGGGCAGGAACGGCGAGCAGCTCCGGGACTGGGACGTCCCTGGGGCTAGGAGGCCGGGACTGGGGGCCGGGCTGCGCTTCCCGCAGCTGCTGCTGCTGCTGCTCCCTCCTTTGCTGCTGCTTCCCTGGGCTGCCGAGGCCGTGGCGGCAGCGGCGGTGGTATCGGGCTCAGCCGCAGCCGAGGCCAAGGAATGTGACCGGCCCTGTGTCAACGGCGGCCGCTGCAACCCTGGCACCGGCCAGTGCGTCTGCCCCACCGGCTGGGTGGGCGAGCAGTGCCAGCACTGCGGGGGACGCTTCAGGTGAGTGCATGGTGGTGGTGGAAGGTCGGACCCAGCCAGAGGTTGGGGTTAAGGGGCGCTTGAGACAGCTTCAGGCCAGAGGCGGATGCCAGACAGAAAGTGGGGAGGTGGGGCCCCACGGTGTTTGAGGACCGTTTCCTTACGGGGAGATCTTCGTCTGTGGCTTGGGATCTTCCTGCAATGGAAGACGAAAAGGTTCGAGGCAAGGGTTGGGGTACCCCAAAGGGGTTTAGGTGAGGCTGGCTACAAGGGAAGAAAGCCTAGGGTCCCAAAGTGTATCGAAGCCAATCTCTGAAATTGGGCCTCTTTTGGATAAACGAAGTATGAAAGAAAAGGTGAAAAAGAGAGGCAGTCTTACTTAAACACTTCGTTTTAATATTCCCTTGTTCCCCAGGGCCTCATGAGTTCCCCTGCTGATTGGATATGTGGGGTAGTCTGAAAAAAAAAAAAAAAAACAACAAAACCACAGGGTGTTGGCAGTGATTTGTTGGCTGGAGATAGAAAGGAAAGAGTAAGATAGTGAGATATTAGCGATAGAAGAATTAATGGTTGTTGGCTAAAGGAAAGTGAGGGAACTAGCCCTTCGAAGCTCTCCGGAGGCCGCAGATTGCACCAGGTTTGTCGTGGAGAGGGCAGAGGAGGAGGTTCCTGTTTGCCCTGATTTCTGGGGAATACCGAGTTCTGAGTTGGCCTGGTTCAGGGCAGTACCTCTTAGGGAGATCACTCATTTATTAATTAGTAGTTATCTATAATTTGTTTTAGTTGTGCAAGGATTTCCAGATTATATGTGCAAATAGATTAGCTAGACTTTGGCCTAGTCCATAGGGAATTTGGAGTATAGCAAGAGAAAGGTACATACACAAATAACCCTAATTGTCTGCCTTTGGCAGATATTACCAAATACTATTGATCTCAGATGTGAAGGAGTGAGGAAATAAGAAGAAAAAGAGAGACAGTGCCCTCACATTCATGGATGTTGACATTCTGGTCGGGAGACAGGGAATTAACACGTAAAAATATAACTGAAAGAAATTAACAAGCTAATTTCAGGTAATGCTGAATGCTTTCAAGAAGGGAAAACAGAATGGTCTGATAGAGAATGATAACTAGTGGCTAATTTTAGGAGAAGCCTCTCATTTAAACTGTGTTTGATATGAGACCTGAATGAGGCATGGGAGAACCTGCGGGAATTTAGGGGTTCTGCAGAGGTTGTGACTAGTTGGAGACTGCAAGGAAAACTTTGAGGAGGAGGTGACATTCGATTTGAGCATTTGAGACTAAGTAGAATTTGGACGTGTGCAACTGGGAAAAAAAATTCCAGATGGAAAGAAGGATGCAAACAAAAGTGTGGAGACCAGAAAGGAAAGTATTTTGCTGGTGGCAGGGTATATAGAAGAGTTGCGAGAGAGAAGTTTGGAATGGTAGAATTGTAGACTCATGTACTATCAGATTTTCAAGGGAACTCAGAGAATGTGGAGGAGATGAGCTCCTTATTGTTAGGAAGGAAGCAAGTAATTTCATGACCAGTGTGTTGTGGGCTGGCCTTGTAACTTGGGTGTTCTAACTTATGAATGAATATAATCTACACATTTGTTGAGGGCTGTTCTGGGTTAGGTTGTGAGATACAAGACAGACACAGTCCTGCTTTTGTGGAGCTTACATTCTAGCTTGCAGGTGCGACATGCAATAATCAACTTAGTATGATTTTGCTGACAGACTTGGAAGTGAAGAGCAGGGGCCAGAGGACTTGGCTTAGTTTGGTGTGGTAAGGTTTGTGACTGAGTAAATGACTTTTGTGTTGAGATCTGAGGGGAGAGATGCCCTTAGCATCTCTCTCTGTATATACAGAGGCTTGGGGATGAGAGGGATTGTAGCAGACTGGGTAGAAGGCTAGGTGGCTGAGGCAGAGAGAGCAAAGGGGAACATGGCAAGACCAGAGCGATAGGCAGGGGCCAAGCCACATGGATCGCCGTTGGATGGGTTGAAAGTTTTGACTTTTAGCCTGTGAGCAGTGGATTGGCATAGTTCCTCTTGTTTGCATGACATTATAGGCTTTTTAGTTTGGAGCTAGAGCAGGAATGGCCTTGAGGGTTAGGCCCGGAGTGTTTTGAATTTGAGGAGCTTCCAAGATCAAGTGAATGGATGGTTGGGTCAGAGGAAAGTTCTTCCGAGTTCTGAAAATCTGGCATGCCATGGTAGGTCGTGAGGAACCATAGAGTGAGGAGGGACATGCATAGCAAGAGCAGTCTGTCTGGAATATTCAGAGTGGGTAGATTCACTTACAGCATGAGAGATGCTGGACAGCTAGGTCGGGACCGTTGGTGTGGGTCAGGACAGCAGTAATGAGAACTAGAGGTAGGATATGGGGTAGGTCCTAAGTGGTATTGTAGAGGTAAGTAACACATCTGTTTCTGAAACTGGTTTGCTTTTGGGAAGAGAGAGGGGGATGGTGAGGGAAAGAAAACTAGATTCTATCTTGGGCGATTGAGAAGACAGTGATATCATTAAGACACACAGGGACCCAGAAGGAACGGGGCTGAGACGTTTAATTTTGCAGACATAGAGATTGGGGTGCCTTCAGGGTATCCACCTGGCAGGACAGGTGTAGCCCTGGTGTTAGCTGTATGTGAAGGAGATTGCCAGGGAGCGAGAGCAGGTCCGAGTGTTCACACAGAGGGTTCGGAGGATTGGAGAAGAATCGCTCGTTATGGGAACAGGCAGCCCTGACACTGGCTGTCTCCGATGGTATCACATTTGCGTGAAGGAGCTCCCCTGGTTTTTGAGGATACTCTTTGAGCTGTTTTGAGCTGGTGTCCTTGTCCTTTCCTTTGATTCTAGTCCTGATAATTCCATTATATTTTGTAGGCTTCTGGAATTTGCATTTTAAAAAAATGAAAGGAAGAGAAACTTGTCTCTGACTTTTTAAAAAAACTTGAATTAAAATTTTAGCCCTGGCCAGTGTGGCTCAGTTGGTTGGAGTGTCATCTGTAACAGAAAGGTTGTGGGTTCAATACCGGGTCAGGGCACATAATCTGGGTTGCCTGTTTGATCCCCAGTTTGGATACGTACAGTCCTGGTCCAGGTGTGTATGGCAGGCAACCAGTCAGTGCTTACTCTCTTGCACTGATGTTTCTCTCTCCCTTCCTCTTTTTCTAAAAGCAAAGAAAAAATGTCCTTGGGTGAGGATTAAAAATATAATTAAAAATTTTAGATGAAGGGGTTTTTTAAAGGGGAAGAGTGAAATGCTGATTTTGATGATAGTAGTATGTGTCATACACACCTTGTTATTAAAGAGACACTAAAACGGACGCCTTTCTGGTTTGGACTGGCATCAAGTCAATATGTTTTTTTATTGCATTTTAGTTCCATAAATCCTGTGTTATAATTGCTGTTATAAGGTCTCTTTTATTAATGAAAAGGAACGTAGGATAATACGAGGATTAGATTTCACTGGGGTTATCACTGAGTACATACTCTATGCTGGGACCTGTCAGGCATTTTCATACACACTGTGCCACTTAATTTTCAGGATAACTCTGAGGGTGTTGTATAAATTTGGATTTTTGTGTGGTTGTAGTTAGAAAATCACTTGTTTTTCCCCAAATGATAGATACTATGAAACTGATTAATTGCAGAGGACAGAGTTAATGGTGGCATTGTAATAAAAATAACAATGGAATCTTTGGTGGATGATTTCTAAAGCACTAACGCTTTCATTCATTTTTATGTGAATCTTCATAATTCAGTGATCTGTTTTTCAGCTTGTGACCTCACCATTGAAATTTTTCTTTGGAGGATAAATATATCCCATCAAGTTAGAGAATAAAGATATTAAACCCTTTATGAAATTAATATGTACTTAATTCTTTTAAGTTTCTGCTATACAAAACTTTTGGGAGAAGAGAATAGAATAACTTATTGGGTCTTTATAGTTACCCATGATGTTGAGTTGCCTTCTACAGGAGGAAAAGATAAGTAAGCATTTACAGAGCATCCGTTTTGTGCCCAGCATACGCAGTACCAGTGATAGTAGTTATAGCAACAGCTGCCACCATTTTCCTAGCATTTATTCCAGTTTTACCTGGTGTTGTGTCAAGTGCTTTTTAGGAATTACCCCTTTTAATCCTTAGAGTGAAGGTATTCATATTTCATAGGTGGGTTGACTCAACCTGGGAGATGTTAAATTACTTGCTCAAGGTCACACAACTTGTAAACAGTTGTGGTTTGAGCTCAGGCCTTGTCTAATTCCCAAATCCACGCTTTCCGTGGCCTCTCATTTTGTCTGAGTCCAGTCACCCGTTCTGAATGTTTTTTGGAAGGGCTGAGACCTAAATCCTCTGACGAGCACTTCGAGCTTCAGTTCCAACCTAGGCCCGGCAGAATGGCTCTTGCAAAGAAAGGTGCTGAGAAGAAGGGCCATTCAGCCATTAATGAGGTAGGGACCAGAGAAGACACGATCAACAAGGGAGTCCGTGGAGTGGGTTTCAGGAAGCATGCTCTTCTGGCTCTTGAAGAGATCCAGAAATTTGCTGTGAAGGAGATGGGAACTTTAGGTGTACCCATTGACACCAGGCTCAACTGAGCCGTTTGGGCCACAGGAATAAGGAAGTCTCTTACCATATCCAGGTGCAGTTTTCTAGAAAATGCAATGAGGCTGAAGATTCACCAAACACACTCTATACGTTGGTTACCTATGTACCTGTTGCCACTTTCAGAAATCTACAAATAGTGAATGTGATTGAGAACTAACTACTGATTGTCAAATACAGTTATAAAACTGCAAAAAAAAAGGTCATTTTTGCCTATATGACTGCCATATGTCTTTTGTCCTTCTGTTTCCCCTAAACTTCACTGTCTAATTTTCCACTCTTCGCTGGGCTTCTTTACTGGGATGTTTTGCTGTCACGTCAGAATGAGCCATGTCTAAGATCAAACTTCCTACCTGCACTGAAAAATAGTCTTTTGTACTTCCTTATTTCAGTAGCACATTTGGCTTTAGATAACCAAAGGTCAAAGTTTAGGAGTAGCCCATTGCTCTTTCTGTTTAGTATCTCTTTTCTAAAGTCTTAGAAGTTTGTCCCTCTCCATTTCTCCTGCTGCCGTTCTAGTGTACCTGGTCCTTTACTGCATTGCCAACCTGCCTCTGTTGCACCCTGACTTGGAATCCTGCACCTCCAGAGTCCACTCTACACTTTGTCTTATAATTCCCTGAAAACATGTGTCACTGTCTTGCTCAGACACCTTTTTTCCCCCTCCTCTTACTACCTATAAAATGACTGTCAGCTGAAGGCTCCCTCTGCCTTATGCACGTTCTTTTTCCCTAACCAAATCCTTCTGCCTTACAGTTTTTCTGCGTATTTGCTAAATTTAGCACCCTTCCTCTTCCCTGCCTCCACATTCTTCTCTACTTACCTAGATTCTGCCCCTTCAGCTCTACCCCATCTTTAATTCTCTATAATCTGTAATAGCAAATTCTTCAAAATCATACCTGTTATCCTCTTTTGAGATGAGTTATCAACCCATTCAACTCATAGAGTGCTTCTGAATGAATGATTATTATGTATTAGGTACAGTGCATACCTTGAGGATATGAAGGTCGGTAAGAATCAGGCCCTGCTTTCCCATTGCAGAGCTCATAATTCTGAGAAGACAGCTGCATGTGCAGGCAGTTAGAATTTAATGATAAAAATATAGGCAATATGTGGTGCTGGATCAATGTGAGGTGGAGAGACTAACCTTTTGAGGGCTCTGGTGGGAAGCGTCACAGAGAGGAGAGCATTTTGGCAGATGTGAGGAGTCTGCTGTGAACAGTGAGTCATGACAATGTGGGAGAAGGGCTTTCCATTGTGCAAAGACAGAGAAACATGGACCGTCACACACACTCCGTGTGTTAGTTTCCTATGTTTGTGGTAACAAAGTGCCACACACTGGGGGGCTTAACACAACAGAAATGTACTCTCTAATAGTTCTGGATGTCCAAAGTCTGAAATGAAGGTGTCAGAATGGCCACACTCTCTGAGGACCCTGAGGGAGAATCTGTTCCTTGCCTTTCTCTTAGTTTCTGGAATTGTCAGCAATTCTGGGCATTCCTTGGCTTGTAGGTGCATCATTTCAGTCTCTGCCTCCATCATTTCAGTCTTACCTGACACTCTCCCCATGTGACTCTTCTTTTCTTATAAGGACGCCAGTCATGTTGGATGTGTAACTTGAGTACATCTTAACCTGAGTACATCTGCAAAGACCCTGTTTCCACATAAAGTCTGTTCACAGGTTCTGGGGGTTAGGACTTCACAATATCTTTTGGGGGTTCACAATTGAAACCACAACACTTAGAGCATTGAACATAGGTGGTTGTTAGAGTATAACTTGTGAGGGATGCACTGGAAGGTGATAATGGCCTTCCCTCTGCCCATCCGAACAACCTCCAGTTTCAGGACATATCCTTGACCTAGGCTAAGTCATCAGGTCATTCCAGTCTCTGGCTGCAGTGATTGGTTTGAGGTAGGCATGTGACCTAAGCTGACTCAGAGTGACTCTCAGAACTTGCTGGAGGGCTCTGTCCTCTGTGGGTGTTTATGAAGCAGATGCTTTGTCATCTGTGTTCTGTGTAGTGAGGATATAAAACCTAGAACTGTTATAGCTTGTAGCATTTCTGTTGTAGCAGAAGCCCACCTGAGGTCAGAGCAGCTCCTAGAGGAGGGAGGAAGGCAGAGAAATGGAGCTGGAGACCTGGTGACTTTCTGAATCTCTGGATCAAGCCTTGCCTGAAGCTGTTGTACTTTTCAGTTTTGTGAGGTACTACATTTCTTTCTTTCTTTCTTTTTTTAAGTTTTATTTATTTACTTTTAGAGAGAAAAGAAGGGAGTGAGAAAGAGAGGGAGAGAAACGTGCAAGAGATACACTGATTGGTTGCTTCTCACATGCCACTGGGGACCAGCCCGCAGCCCATGCACTTGTCCTGACTGGGAATTGAACCAGCCACCTTTCGATTCACAGTCTGGTGCTCAATCCACTGAGCCACACCAGTTAGGGTGGTATTACATTTCTTATGTCAGTTAGTATTAGATTTTCTGTCCTTTACAATATGGAATAATTCCTAACAAACAGAGGGATGTAGGGCCAGATCATGAAAGTCTTTTTATTCCACACCAAGGAGTGTGGGCCCTATGCACTTGGCATTGATAACGTGGTCTTAATTCCTGATATTTTTCTATGAAGTCTCCCAGTGTTCCAGTTTTGATGGGCATATGATCTGAGCCCCAAGGTACCATAGGCAATAGTTTTAGCTTATTTTTTTGTGACTGCTTAACTGGGATTGCCAGCTACCAACTGGAGATGAGACTGTTCTTACTGCCCTGTACCCCAGCCCTGTTTTGCCAGTTTCACATTTGAGGGCTCATTAATTGTTACTCTGTTTATATGTTGTATTGGATATGATTTCTATCAAAATTCTTTCAGTGACAGACACCCAACTCATAAAGCCTAAGAGAAAAAGATGGGAGAGGGTTACTGGTTTGTGTGACAGAAAAGTCAGGAGGATATTGTGGCTTCACGCATGACTGGATCTAGGGGACCCGTTGGTGTCCATCCTTCCATGTCTTCGTTCGCTCTGTTCTTTACTAGCCTCACTCTCCGGAAGGCTGTCTTCACGTAGTGCCTCCAGAAGCTAAATTGAACTGGCTTAGCATCCTCCTGAGCTGAGTACCTGTTCTGGGGTGGGCAGTGGGGTCCAGCTCCATTAGATGGCATGAACTGAGAAAGGGGGACAAAGAAGGAGAAAGGAAAACACATGTAATGTTCCTAGAAAGTGGGCCAGTGCTGGGCAAGTGAGAACAGTAACATCGCTGGTTATTCTTAGAACCTGCCATTTGGTGAATACTAAGTGTGGATGATGAAAATTGGGAATGGTCTGGATACTATTGTATCAAGTAATAAAGTGAGGGGCCGGCCCAGTTCATCAGGAATTCACTCAGTCATTACACGGAGTTGTGAGGAACCTGCTAGATGGAATACTGGCTCTTTGAGGTTACCACAGTGGGGACTGTCCAGTGTTGAGTGTCAGTCTAGTAGAGCCAAGTCACTGAATTGCAGTTATTCATCCCTTAATGTTGTAATGGGGGAATAGAGAGGATTATGGGAGGAAGCAAATAAATACGTGTTTATTGAGTAAAATTATGCTATATTGGGTACAAACTTAACTTTATATAGAATACTTATATAATTGACATTTAATGTTTTTGGCCGACTCCTTGAAGATAGAATTTACTTATTTGAAAAGGTAAAAATAGGGTTGTTGAGTAAAAAGAAAAACTGACGATGAATGTCTTAATTGTAAAAGTTACGATATATTTGAAAGCAGGTATCTGACATTTAAATTTTACCTCTGCAAAAGGTTCCTAAGATAGGCAATTTTTTTTATTTACTATGATATAGACAACAGAGAAATATGTAAAAGAAAAGCAGAGTATGTTTATGATCTAAGCATTTTTTTCCTAAATATGACTAAGTGATTTAATAAATTTGTAGGTTGTCTTTATCTTAAGAATTAAATGTAGAAGTATTTCCCTAGAACTGTGGTTGAACAGTATGAAGTTATACTGGTTTTTCGTTTTCACAAAGTCTTGTTTCTAAAACTGAAATGAAACTATGGTTGTACTTTCCAAAGTAATTGTATCTGAAAATTTATCAGCCACTAACCTATTATGAAATTGTTTTCCACTTATATTCTTCGCCATTTTCCGTGATTTCCCAAAGGCATTGTGGCAAAAGTGACACTCATCTCTGTATTAGATACTAATCTAAACCTTTGTTTTGTTACTTCTTTCCGTTTCTGCTTTTTACCCTATTCTTTCAAACTAGCCCTGTATTATTAGTCTTTTCCTAATGTTTTCTCCTGAGGGTGGCTTTTTCTTATATTTGCCTTGCTTTTTTTCTTCTCCTTGTTTTATTGATGTCATATCCCTTTCACTACTTTTCTTTTAGCACTTGAGGCCCTGCTTTGATTTTTGTCCTTTCACTTTTTAATTCTTTAAGTTTTCTGTTTTTTCAAGTTACATTTGGAGTGAATTTTAACTCTGGCTGTTTATTTACATGTTTACTCATCTAGAATCTATCTTTCTCTTGCAGAAGTTAATTTTAGTCATGGTTGAATTTGCCGTCGCTGAATGTATTCTTTTGGAATTTAACATCAACATTAATTTTTAAATTAATTCCTCTTGGTCCCTTTTGCATTCTAATTAAGAATTTTAAATTTATTTATTAATAAACTTATAACCATTTAAGGGCAGAAGTTTTATCAGATGCTGTTGACACACATGGGTCACCTCTCTTCACCAGAGTTTCCTATATTTTTGATTCACAGATCCTTTCAGAAATGTGTATACTGTATTGGACTCTCTTAGGAATTAAAAGAAAGCCTTAAAAAATGTATTCTGGTTTTAGGCCCTGGCTGGTGTAGCTCAGTGGATTGAGTGCGGGCTGCAAACCAAAGCATCGCAGGTTCGATTCCCAGTCAGAGTACATGCCTGGGTTGCAGGCCATGACCCCTAGCAACCGCACATTGATGTTTCTCTCTCTCGCTTTCTCCCTCCCTTCCCTCTCTAAAAAATAAATAAATAAATAAAATCCTTAAAAAATGTATCCTGGTTTTGATAAATGCTTTTAAATAAAATAAAAAGTAATTTCTTAAAGATTATAACATACATTTTAAATGTAATTCATAATGATACTCACAATATAAAAAATTTGAC